GGCTGCCAAGGTTGAGAAACACTGGTCTACTGCTTGATTGTAAGGCTTTTACCTAGCCTTCCTCAACCCACATGCCCTCCAGCCAAACTTCTCCAAGCACCATGGCCTTTGATGAAAATTCTGAGTGTTGATGTCCACCCATTTGGAAGATCCCTGTGTTGAGAAAGGCTGAACAAAGCTGGTCCTTTGTGGTGAGAGAGAACAACAGTATTTAATCCTCTTTCGCTGCTGATTGAAGCTTTGAAGTATATGAATACATAATTCCTAAACTGTGGTTCTGAGAAGCATCATTGCTAACAAAATGATTATTGCTTGGTCTTGGGTGCCTGTAGTTGGAAGTAAGTCAAGCTGAGTTCAGCGGGGTGTAAAACATTACATCATCTAGCAATTAATAGCAACTTTTTGGAAAGGAATGATTACAGACAGCTTTGGTGTTATGGCAGCTCATTTAAACGATGATTCAACATTTGCTGTGTGATATTTCTACAGTATTCTTTAGAACAGCCTCCTCCAACTTGTGACCCTCCAAATGCATTCAAGAGCCTAAGCTGGCTGGGGACTATGGGAATTGAAGTCTAGTCCATTCAGAGGTTTGGAAAGGCTGCTTTAAACAAGGAAGACGGAGGGAAAAGGCACAACTTACTCAGGTTTTAAATAGTAGAAATTGGGGAAGATGGTGGAGAAACATTAAGATGTGCAAATGCTGGTGGAGAAGTGGTGGATTCTATTGCAAGGAGTGAATGTTTATTAAAAGAAGTGAAATGGTGTGTATAAGGAGGCTGTTGTGATGCAATGGAATTATGAAGGCCAAGCTCAGGGAGATAAGCATGGGAAGATTGATGTCAGGCCTAGCCCAAGGAACTCCAAGAGACCATGCAAATTCAGTCCAGTTTTTTTTATTGGCTACAGCCTCTATCAAGAATCTTCCCAGACTAAAACCCCAGTTCCCAAAGTCCCCCAGCCACAACAGTGTGAATTCCTCAGGGAGATGTCAATCTCATCCTTTTGTTCCTCTCATGCGGTTCTGGTGAGCTAAGAAAATGCTTATCTCCCTGAGCTTGGCCTTCATAATTCCATTGCATCACAACAGCCTCCTTATACACACCATTTCACTTCTTTTAATAAACATTCACTCCTTGCAATAGAATCCACCA